TTGAAAACATGATACCAAGTGAAAGAAGCCAGACTCAAAAGAACAACTATTGTATGATTCCATTTATATAAAATGTCTAGGATAGGCAATATCTAGGATAGGCAAATTCATAGAGACAAAAAGTAGATTAGAGATAATCTTGGCCTGGGAGGATAGGGATGTCTTAGTCTATTTGTGCTGCTATAGCAGAATACTTGAGACTGGGTAATTTATAGTGAACAGAAATTTATCTCTCATAGTTCTGGAGGCTAGGAAGTCTAAGATCAAGGTACCAGCAGATTGTATGCCTCATGAGGACCCAGCCTCTGCTTCCAAGATGGTGCCTTGAACACCACATCCTCCAGAGGGGAGGAACGTTGTTCCTCACATGGCAGAAAAGCAGAAGAAAGGGAGGGCACTACTCCTGCAAACCCTTCTTACAGCAGCATTAATCCATTTATGAGGGCAGGGACCTCATGATCTAAAAGTCTCCCAAAAGGCCCCACTTCCTAACACTGTTGTATTGAGGGTTAAGTTTGTAACATGAGTTTTGAGGAGGACAAAAACATTCAAACCATAGCAAGGGGAATGGGGAGTTATTGCGTCTTATGTACAGAATTTCTCTTTGGGGTGATGAAAGGGTTATGGAAATAGATAATGGAGATGGTTGCACCTTGTGAGTGGAATGCCACTGAAATGTACATTTATGAATGATTAAAATGGAAAATGTAATGTTTTATATATTATATACAATGTTATATGTTGTATATAATATATGTGTGTGTTTATCAGCCACAAAGTCTTTTTACTTGGAAAACAAAAAAGAAAGGGTAAGAATTTGGCTGGGTGTGGTGGCTCGTGCCTGTAATCCCAGCACTTTGGGAGGCCAAGGCAGGTGGATCACCTGAGGTCAGGAGTTCAAGACCAGCCTGGCCAACATGGTGGAACCCCATCTCTACTAAAAATACAAAAATTAACTGGGCATGATGGTGGGTGCCTGTAATCCCAGCTACTCAGGAGGCTGAGGAGCGAGAATCAATTGAGCCAGGGAGATTGAAGCTGCAGTGAGCTGCGATTGTGCCACCACACTGCAGCCCCGGTGACAGAGTGAGACCCTCTCTCAAAATAAATAAATAAATAAATAGGTAAAGGGACAGAAGGGAAAAAGGACAGAGCCCTAAAGAATGCCCACAATAAGGGTACAGAAAGAAGAGGAGCTGCCAGCAAAGATAGCAGAGGAACATAAATGGTCATTTTAGCCCCATGCTGGAAAGTTCCCTAAGGTATTATGTGAATTATGGGCATGGATTAAGGATTTTGTCCCTATAAAGCCCATAAAAATTTGAGAGTTTAGAGAAAGTAAGAAAGAATTTGTTTAATTTGTTTAACAGATCTCTATTAATTTCCCCAATAGCAGATAGAAAATGAGCAAGGTCTTTCTAGGACTTTTCACTAAGATTTTATTCAATGTGACTTTCTCCACAAGCTGGGAGGAAACCACAAGATAATGATGAAATAGGCAAAAAATTTGTCTTTGGAGGTTCATCATTTCTTCTTTTTCACCTCATTCACAATGTTTTTCCAAAAAAGTTCATGTATGTCCTCACATATTAGTTTCACTCAATGTGAATAGCACAGTCATTATTTAGTGTCCTCATGCTTACACTTTCTTCTCTACCCTGCTTTTCTTCAGTTTCTGACTTTTCTGCATCACTATGTCTTTTCACCTTTTGCCTTGTTTTTCCCCTGAAACGTTCCTAGCTTCTTCCCTGCATAAGGGATAGAAGCAGAGTTCGAATATAGGGAGTATTATGCCTATGATTATGACATGTCTTCTGTGTGCGTTATAAAATTTAAAACCCTGGATATCTTTTATTTTAAAAGTGCAATTCATTGTACTTAACACTAGCACAGTGTAATGCTTCTAGTGACATTCATTGTCTCACTTTGATCCTCCCAGCAACTCTCTGAGTTTCAGGGGATACTCCAAACTAGGTTTACTAGACTTTCTCTTATGTTAGGATTAACTTGTAAATACTAAAGTACTTTTCATCTATTTCCCCAAGAAATTCTTCCAGCAGAGTTATTTGTTTCTATATTTTGCAAATCTGAAAGTAGAGGGAGGGAGAAAGAGGCTGATAAAGAAGAGAGTAAAAAATAAGATCATTGTCAGAAAAGCTTGCCTCATTCCTCTATAAAAGCAAGCCAAGAGGCTGGGAGTGGTGGCTCATGCCTATAATCCCAGCACCTTGGGAGGCTGAGATGGGTGGATCACCTAAGGTCAGGAGTTCAAAACCAGCCTGGCCAACATGGTGAAAACCCATCTCTATTAAAAAATATATAAAAATTAGCCGGGGGTTAGTGGTGGGCATCTGCAACCCCAGCTATTTGGGAGGCCGAGGCAGGAGAATCACTTGAACCCAGGAGGCGGAGGTTGCAGTGAGCTGAGATCACACAATTGCACTCCAGCCTGGGCAACAGGGGTGAAGCTCCATTGCAAAAAGAAAAAAAAAGAGCCAATAAATGAAAAACAAGACCTTTTCATTTCCTAGTTGCTCTATTTTGTGGAAGAAAACAGGCATCATGGGATGTTGCCAGTTTGAGATGTTATTAGTGCATACTTTCTCACTTCGATCATGTAAGATTGAGATGTGTAAGAAAACACTGTGTAGATATTTAATAACTGATGTAATTATTACATTGTTTCCATACATTAAGTTTTGAAAGTCAACATGGAAGCATTTATTTATTCAAATAAAATAGCTGTCTCCTCTTTTATCCTATAAGCAAACAAATTTAACTTTTTGTCACGAGCTAAATGACTGTGGCAAGAGACTGCCCATCATGAATGCATTCCAGATTCTGACAGAGGAGGAATTGTGTTGAGCTCTCTAAGTAAACTTGTGATCCTCTCAGTCACTTCTCAACTGTTGAAGGGCCGATTATCCAGTTCCTGGATTTACACAGACCTTTTGCTTTTCTTCTTTTTCTGCAATTTTTCTCTCTTCTTCCCTCTAATTCAGATCTCATTATTACCTCAAAAGGAAAAAAGGTGCTCTAAGAGACATATTGACTGATTTAATTTGGAAAAGTTGGCAGTATTTTGAGCCTGCTAAACTGTTTCTTGATGGTAAGAATACTGTAAATATTGACTAGAAGTTAGGGGTTATCTATGCATTTTTTCCTTCTTCCTTTTTTTTGTGGGTACATAGTAGGAATATATATTTATGGGGCACGAGATGTTTTGATACAGGCATGCAATGTGAAATAAGCACATCATGGAGAATGGTTTATGTATCCCCCTATGCATTTTAATTATTTCATTAGCCGCCGGGCGCAGTGGCTCAAGCCTGTAGTCCCAGCACTTTGGGAGGCCAAGGTGGGTGGATCACGAGGTCAAGAGATCGAGACCATCCTGGCCAACATGATGAAACCCCATCTCTACTAAAAATACAAAACATTAGCTGGACATGGTGGCGTGTGCCTGTAATCCCAGCTACTCAGGAGGCTGAGGCAAGAGAATTGCCTGAACCCAGGAGGCGGAGGTTGCGGTGAGCCGAGATCGCGCCATTGCACTCCAGCCTGGGTGACAAGAACAAAACTCCGTCTCAAAAAAAAAAAAAATTATTTCATTAGCCATAACTATAGGAGGTCAATGTATGTATAGATCTTTTATAAACAGCCAACTTCAAGTCTAAACAGATCAATTTCTTAGCATTTAAATCCTAATTTGCACTTCACGAGTGAGAAAGGAAAACCATAGGTTTAAGACCCCAGACCCTCCAGGCGCAGTGGCTCATACCTGTAATCCAGCACTTTGGGAGGCTGAGGCAGGTAGATCACGAGGTCAGGAGTTCAAGACCAGCCTGGCCAAGATGGTGCAACACTATCTTTACTAAAAATATTAAAAATTAGCCAGCATGGTGGTGGGCACCTATAATCCCAGCTACTCAGGAAGCTGAGGCAGAGAATCATTTGAACCCGATGGGGTGGCAGAGGTTGCGATGAGCCAAGATCACGCCATTGCACGCCAGCCTGAGCAACAGAGTGAGACGCTGTCTAAAATAAAATAAAATAATAAAATAGACCCCAGACCCATGTTGCATTTCACTGGCTGACAAGGTTTTGCGAAAATGGTGAAAAAATATATATTTCAGCCACATATATTTTTTTAAAGTGTTAGGCTTAGATTAAAGCAGAGGGGAGAAAAGATAATATTTCAAGAAAGGGAACAATACCAGTGAAAGCACAGAGAAGGGCCAAGAACTTAACTGCCCATATAGAGGAGTGTAAAGAAACTGCCTTGGTAGCGTAGAGAGCTGTAAAAACAAAGGTGCGGCTGCAATACTCTTATTGCTTTGAAGAGAAGGCATGGGAGTTAGAACTTGTCTCAGCCAGAAGTACACTGTGGGTTTGGCTTCTGAGGAGAAGAGTGACATGAAGAAAGTACTGTTTAGGAAGGATTGGCCAGGCAGCAGGACTGCAGGAGGGAACGGAGGAGAGGGACAGGCATCAGCCTGTTGTGATTACATCTGTGACATCTATTTCCTTGGCCTGGAATGGCGCCACCTTTCAACAAAGCCTTGATTTGGTTTCACATCTTACTTTCAAAAAGTTTTAATCCAGGAGTAAGAAAAAAGGGAATTCACTTGTTTTGAGTCCTTACTCTAGTGTACCAGACACTGCCAGAAGCTTTCCATGCATCTTACTCAATCCACACAAACCTGCTCTATTGAAATAGCTATTATTAGCCCCATTTTAGAGAGGACAAAATTGAAGTAGGTAACTTGCCTTTGGTCACATAGCTAGGAAATGACAGGATCAGATTTCAAACCCATGTCTGATTTCAAAGCTCTTAGTCTTTCCACTGTACCAAGACTTTCAGAGTCGGGGGGTAAAATAAAACTGTTGTGTCAATACATTGTGTTTAATGTTTATAAAGATAGTTGGATTTTTAAATATTGTCATCTCAAACTAAAAATGCTACCTTTCCTAGACCTAAATGTTGTCTCTCTGCTTAGCTCTTCAGCCGTCTATGAAAGGGGTAGGCACACTCCCTCCATCATTTTCAGAAGACCTGAGGAGGCTGCCTTGTCTCCATTGCCACCTTCTGTGGAGGACACAGGATTACCTTCATATGAACAGGCAGTGGCACTGACCAGAAAACACAGTGTTTCACCACCACCACCATATCCTGGGCCCACAAAAGGATTCAGGGTATTTAAAAAATCTATGTCTCTTCCATCTCACTGACTACCTTGCCATCTTGATATAAGAAATTTGTGTTATTTGATTGGCCGGGCATGGTGGCTCATGCCTGTAATCCCAGCACTTTGGGAGGCCAGGAGTTTGAGACCAGCCTGGCCAACATGGTGAATCCCCGTCTCTACTAAAAATTCAAAAATTAGCCAGACGTGGCAGTGCATGCCTGTAGTCCCAACTAGTCGGTAGGCTGAGGCAGGAGAACTGCTTGAATCTGGGAGGCGCCAGTTGCAGTGAGCTGAAATTGCAGCACCACTGCACTCCAGCCTGGGCAACAGAGCAAGACTCCATCTCAAAAAAAAAAAAAAAAAGAAGAAGAAGAAAGAAGAAAGAAGAAGAAGGAGAAGGAGAAGAAGAGAAGAAGAAGAAGAGGAGGAGGAGAAGGAGGAGGAGGAGGAGGAAAAGGAAGAGGAAGAGAGAGGAAAGAAGAAGAAATTCATGTTATTTGAATGGTTTGCTCTCCCTGAACCAAAAAAGACATGTCTCCAGCTTTTTATGACAAACTGCAAGGAATAAAGGAAGAATAAGCCATGTGTTGTACCACGGAAGCTCTGTCTGCATCTTGAACCTGAACTTGATCATTATCAGCTTGATAAGAGACTTTCTGACTCTATATCCTTGCAGTTAAGAAGAAAGCACATTTTTGTTTTAGTGGTTCAAAAAAAAAATCTTTGTTGTAAAGAGCGTAGGTAGAATTAGTGAACTCTTTGCATCCTTTGTACAGATAAAGGTTATAGATTTCTTGTGCTGAATATTAAAGAAGCAAGAATGTCTAACCATTAAGATTATCCAAAGTCAGGCCAGGAGCAGGGGCTCACACCTGTAATCCCAGCACTTTGGGAGGCCAAGGTAGGCAAATCGCCTGAGGTCAGGAGTTAGAGACCAGCCTGGCCAACATGGTGAAGACCCATCTCTACAAAAATACAAAAAAAGTTAGCCAGGCATGATGGTGGGTGCCTGTAATCCCAGCTACTGGGGAGGCTGAGGCAGGAGACGCACTGGAACCCAGGCGGCAGAGGTTGCAGTGAGGTGAGATCACGCCATGGCACAAAAGCCTGGACGACAGAGTGAGACTCTGTCCCCCAAAAAAAAAAATAGATTATCCAGTTAGGACATTGGACCTACTCCTTCTTAGGATTTTTTTTGGGGGGTTAGAAATACTTCACAGAATTTGGTATTTCAGTATAAATCTGTGACTTTAATATAATCACTTGGTTTTATATGTTAAATTATTGCATAGCAATCATTATATTTTGCTGGGTTTAGATCTTAACTCTTGCTGTCAGTAATGTTTTATTATAGGTAGTGGGGTCAGCAGTTTTCTTGTTCTAAAAAATACTATTTTCTATGAAGTTAGTTCTTCGAGGATATAAAGTTGCAATGAAAAGGATTTGCAGGGTTGTTATGCTATCAAACAGACCTCAAATCTAGGAGACACTACAATTAATGAAGTTGCCCGTGTTACTGATTAGTAAACACTCCCATCTTCATTGCAAAATTATCACTATATATAACTACATATGATTATTTTGAAATTTGTTGAACTTTATAGTTTGAGAATCTGAAAAAAGTAATTTGCTTTTCTGCTCTTAAAATAATATTGATTAATGTTACCAGAAACCTTTTGCATCTCTTAATATGTCTGAACACAACAGGAAAACACCATAATGATTTAAACCCATTCTTTGTCTAGTCTTCTAAATAATATGTATAACCAATTTTTCCTTAAGAATGTAGTAGCATATAAGCTGTAAATTTCTGGAGTATGTGCACACAAATTTATATGGGTGGGTGGGTATGTAGGTATATGTGAATTTGTTTCCTCTTCCAGGAGCTCAAGAAATAACATACTCCTGAAAAACAGAATAGAAAATTAGGTGCTTTACGTTTTTGCCAGGCATCATATTTTCTTATCATTTAGGATCATTTATAAAAATGATCATTATTTATTTTGTTTTATAATTTTTACAGGAGTGAGACTGCAAATCCACGTTTGATAATTCCTACCAAATTAAATGTCTAGAAAATATAAATCATGCCGGGCGCGGTGGCTCAAGCCTGTAATCCCAGCACTTTGGGAGGCCGAGGCGGGTGGATCACGAGGCCAAGAGATCGAGACCATCCTAGTCAGCACGGTGAAACCCCGTCTCTACTAAAAAAATACAAAAAATTAGCTGGACATGGTGGTGCGTGCCTGTAATCCCAGCTACTCAGGAGGCTGAGGCAGGAGAATTGCCTGAACCCAGGAGGCAGAGGTTGCGGTGAGCCGAGATCGGGCCATTGCACTCCAGCCTGGGTAACATGAGTGAAACTCCGTCTCAAAAAAAAAAAAAAAAAAAAGAAAATATAAATCATATTACAGTGCATGTGTGAGTGTATGTCTCTCTTTTAAGATGCATCATCTTAAGGCAAATAAAAGTTTAAGTCCTTAATCATTACAGACTGCTAAAGACTTTATCATTTTAGATTCTCAGTCTCTTTGTTGCTTGTTGCAAATAGATCATCTAGCAACATTTACATTTAATTAAGAAACCTAACTTGATTTTAAGTTACCCATATTGCATATAAAAATCTTGCTATTAGTTGTGTCTTGGCTTTACATAAGCACTTTTGCTCATGTGACTTTGCACTTATTTTAATCCTCTTTAAAGGGTTACAGGCAAATTCTACTTTGCAATAATCACACTAAGGCATAAAAGAATAACTTGTCCAAAATCTAGCAAGTTGGTGACAAGTGGGTTTAGAATGAGTGAGCACATTTTTCTAGTCCCATGCCATGCCTATAAAATTATACTGCCTCAAATTATGAAATTCAGGAATCTTGCCGGGCGCGGTGGCTCAAGCCTGTAATCCCAGCACTTTGGGAGGCCGAGGTGGGTGGATCACGAGGTCAAGAGATCGATACCATCCTGGTCAACATGGTGAAACCCCGTCTCTACTACAAATACAAAACATTAGCTGGGCATGGTGGAGCGTGCCTGTAATCTCAGCTACTCAGGAGGTTGAGGCAGGAGAATTACCTGAACCCAGGAGGTGGAGGTTGCGGTGAGCCGAGATCGTGCCATTGCACTCCAGCCTGAGTAACAAGAGTGAAACTCTGTCTCAAAAAAAAAAGAAATTCAGGAATCTTGTATATAATTCTAAGTTTGGGACAGAAACTTACAAGCATTTCTCATCTATACGTACATTTATATATGTACATGTTACATATATTTATATGTATTCTCATATACATATGAAAAATATGTATAATGAATAGAATTATAAGATATATATCATTTACTGAATCATATTTTGAAATATCCCATGAACTCATTTACTTCTCTTGACTCCCAAAAGTCTAACTACAAAGCTAGCTTCAGAACCTGTGACAACCCCACCCCACCCAAGCAGCTGCCTAGAGTTGACTACTGCTATCATTTTGTATAAAACAGTTGCTCTAATTTGAATGAGTCTAGAATCCATCATTAAGATTGTGATATTTACAGAGTATCCAATGTAGAGATAATATTTTAAATATAAAAAGGAAAATATGATAAAACTGTTATTGAAAAATGTTTGTAATGATTGAGCAGTCACATGTACTTCTATTACTTTCACCATTTTCTATTCCTGTTGTAAGTTTGGTGGTAAATTTGTTGTTTTGTTTGATTTATCTGTTTTGTTTGTATTTCATCTCCCAGCAATTGATTAGTGTTAATCATTAAATCTATTTTGACACAAGGTTTTATATATAATTAGATCAGTTTTCCACTTTATTACAATTAAGAAATCAGTGAAATATGGATATAAAAGGAGAATTGGACTTGGAAAAGACAAATACACATTTACAAGGCTATACCTTCGGTAGGATAGACAATTCTATGTAGAATATTTTCTTTTGATAATGGAAAAAATTAAAAAGGTCACAAACTTTGACTGTGTCAAAGCATTTTTATTTTTAATTTTTTGAGACAAGGTCTTACTCTGCCACCCAGGCTGGAGTGCAGTGGCCCAGTCACAACTCACTGCAGCATGAACTTCGGGGCTCAAGCAGTTCTCTACTTCAGCCTCCTGAGTAGCTGGGACTACAGGTGCATGCCAATACACCTGGCTAATTTTTGTGGTTTTTGTGGAGACAGGATTTCTACAAAAATTGTTGCCCAGGCTGGTCTCCAACTCCTGAGCTCAAGTGATCCACCCACCTCAGCTTCCCAAAGTGCTGGAATTACAGGCATGAGCCACCATGCCGGCCTGCTGTGTCAAACTTTTGCATCTTTTTTTGAGACAGAGTCTTGCTCTATAGCCCAGGCTAGAATGCAGTAGAGTGACCAGGAGGTTGGCTCACTGCAACCTCTGCCTCCCAGGCTCAAGAGATTCTCCTGCCTTAGCCTCCCGAGTAGCTGGGATTACAGGCACCTGCCACCATGCCTGGCAAACTTTTGTATTTTTAGTGGAGACGGGGTTTCGCCGAGTTGGCCAGGCTGGTCTCAAATTCCTGAACTCAGGTGATCTGCCCACTTCAACCTTCCAAAGGGCTGGGATTACAGGCATGAGCCACCGTGCCCGGCCCCAAGTTTTGCATCTTTTAATGACGCACCCTCTGAGCAAATATATAGAGAAAACTCTCAGAACAATTAAAAACTGCAGAGCAACAGTATCCTCCATGTCTTTGGTTTCAAGTTTGCCTCTAAAATACTAATCCATATTTTTCTACTTCTCAGATAATTTATATGTGTATAATCTTCCTAAATGTACAAGAGACTTTTTAACACTAAAAGATTGTCAGTGCTTAACAAAAACTCAATTTTATATTACTCATATTGTTTTGGTTTTAATTGAATGTGAATTAATTTTTATTAGTTATTTGATTTGGAATGTTATATATGCCATTAACACTATTAGAGGAATGTCTAGCATTTCTGTATTTTTAAAGCATTTGATTCTTTTGTCGATTCTGTTTATGTGGCCATTTTAAAACATGTGTGACATAAATCAGTACCTTCATTCTTCTATATTGTGTGTCTCCTCCAACTTTTTTTGTTTTTTTAAAAATGTTTCTCTAACACCTCAACAGTTTAAGGTAATTCAGTACACATATATCAGTATTTTCATTATCTGAAAACAGCAACCAATTTTTAAAATTCATCTTTTTCCTAAAACTGTATTATGTTTTTATTTTAAGGGGTTTCCTGTCATATATACTTTTTACACA